AGCTGGCCTGGGCCGCCAGGAGCTGCAGGGGGCTTGTGAGGGCTGCGGGGAGGGAGAGAGGTTACTGATGAGACCAGCGCTCCCAGCAGCCCCGGGCCAGCCGCCCACCTGCTCCCACCTCAGCTGGACTTTCCTTCCCGTGAGCCACCCCACCTTAACCCCCGTCCCCTCTCCACCTGAGGGGTGCACTGTCCCTGTCTACTCCGGTACCTGCCCACTCCCCTTCCTCTGCCTTCCTGAGCACCTGGCTGAGACCCGAAGCCCTCAGCCCTGGTCCCCACGACGTGTGTCCGTCTGATGCCCTGCCCTCTCAGCCAGCCGGTGTGAGCTCTGTGACAGGGACTTTGCTCAGTGTTATAGTGCCCGGTGCTTAGCAGCTGCTCAGCTGGTGGCTGCCGACCGGCTGCCGGATGGCCTGGGAAGGGGCTCCTGGGCACTGACTGTGCCTGAACCCCGGGCTACAATGCGGCAGGGAGGGCGGCAGGGCCTCACCGTAAGCGCTGCCGGCTACGCTACTGGTGGGGACCGCGTGCCTTCCGTTTTGCGTGACGGCCCGGACCGGAAGAGGGTGCTGCCCGATGCTCACGGGCGTGGCCGGCTGCAGGATGGTGACCGTGTGCCCGGGGACGCCAGGGGCCATCTGGCCGGCCACCGTCTGGATGACGCGGCTGGTGGCAGGGATGGTGGCGAAGGCGATGGTGGGCTTCTCCTCCAGGCCTAGGGAAGAGCGCGTGTCAGGGACCGCCTCCCAGAGGCGGCCGTGGCCAGGAGCTGCGGGTTCCAGGCACTGACACGGAAAAGCCATCGCTTCTCAAAAGGAAAATCGCACCGAGGAGGTAAGTTTTAAAACAGCAGGAAAGCGACTCACAGCATTGTAAACACACGTGTAACGCCCACACTGTACAGCCAGGTGAGCGAGGGACGGGCCCGTGACACACACGTGTAACGGCCACATTGTACAGCCAGGGGGAGCGAGGGCCGGGACCGTGACACACACGTGTAACGGCCACCCTGTACAGCCAGGGTGAGCGAGGGACGGGACCGTAACACACACGTGTAACGGCCACATTGTACAGCCAGGGGGAGCGAGGGCCGGGACCGTGACACACACGTGTAACGGCCACCCTGTACAGCCAGGGTGAGCGAGGGACGGGACCGTAACACACACGTGTAACGGCCACATTGTACAGCCAGGGGGAGCGAGGGCCGGGACCGTGACACACACGTGTAACGGCCACCCTGTACAGCCAGGGTGAGCGAGGGACGGGACCGTAACACACACGTGTAACGGCCACATTGTACAGCCAGGGGGAGCGAGGGCCGGGACCGTGACACACACGTGTAACGGCCACCCTGTACAGCCAGGGTGAGCGAGGGACGGGACCGTAACACACACGTGTAACGGCCACATTGTACAGCCAGGGGGAGCGAGGGCCGGGACCGTGACACACACGTGTAACGGCCACCCTGTACAGCCAGGGTGAGCGAGGGACGGGACCGTAACACACACGTGTAACGGCCACATTGTACAGCCAGGGGGAGCGAGGGCCGGGACCGTGACACACACGTGTAACGGCCACCCTGTACAGCCAGGGTGAGCGAGGGACGGGACCGTAACACACACGTGTAACGGCCACATTGTACAGCCAGGGGGAGCGAGGGCCGGGACCGTGACACACACGTGTAACGGCCACCCTGTACAGCCAGGGTGAGCGAGGGACGGGACCGTAACACACACGTGTAACGGCCACATTGTACAGCCAGGGGGAGCGAGGGCCGGGACCGTGACACACACGTGTAACGGCCACCCTGTACAGCCAGGGTGAGCGAGGGACGGGACCGTAACACACACGTGTAACGGCCACATTGTACAGCCAGGGGGAGCGAGGGCCGGGACCGTGACACACACGTGTAACGGCCACCCTGTACAGCCAGGGTGAGCGAGGGACGGGACCGTAACACACACGTGTAACGGCCACATTGTACAGCCAGGGGGAGCGAGGGCCGGGACCGTGACACACACGTGTAACGGCCACCCTGTACAGCCAGGGTGAGCGAGGGACGGGACCGTAACACACACGTGTAACGGCCACATTGTACAGCCAGGGGGAGCGAGGGCCGGGACCGTGACACACACGTGTAACGGCCACCCTGTACAGCCAGGGTGAGCGAGGGACGGGACCGTAACACACACGTGTAACGGCCACATTGTACAGCCAGGGGGAGCGAGGGCCGGGACCGTGACACACACGTGTAACGGCCACCCTGTACAGCCAGGGTGAGCGAGGGACGGGACCGTAACACACACGTGTAACGGCCACATTGTACAGCCAGGGGGAGCGAGGGCCGGGACCGTGACACACACGTGTAACGGCCACCCTGTACAGCCAGGGTGAGCGAGGGACGGGACCGTAACACACACGTGTAACGGCCACATTGTACAGCCAGGGGGAGCGAGGGCCGGGACCGTGACACACACGTGTAACGGCCACCCTGTACAGCCAGGGTGAGCGAGGGACGGGACCGTAACACACACGTGTAACGGCCACATTGTACAGCCAGGGGGAGCGAGGGCCGGGACCGTGACACACACGTGTAACGGCCACCCTGTACAGCCAGGGTGAGCGAGGGACGGGACCGTAACACACACGTGTAACGGCCACATTGTACAGCCAGGGGGAGCGAGGGCCGGGACCGTGACACACACGTGTAACGGCCACCCTGTACAGCCAGGGTGAGCGAGGGACGGGACCGTAACACACACGTGTAACGGCCACATTGTACAGCCAGGGGGAGCGAGGGCCGGGACCGTGACACACACGTGTAACGGCCACCCTGTACAGCCAGGGTGAGCGAGGGACGGGACCGTAACACACACGTGTAACGGCCACATTGTACAGCCAGGGGGAGCGAGGGCCGGGACCGTGACACACACGTGTAACGGCCACCCTGTACAGCCAGGGTGAGCGAGGGACGGGACCGTAACACACACGTGTAACGGCCACATTGTACAGCCAGGGGGAGCGAGGGCCGGGACCGTGACACACACGTGTAACGGCCACCCTGTACAGCCAGGGTGAGCGAGGGACGGGACCGTAACACACACGTGTAACGGCCACATTGTACAGCCAGGGGGAGCGAGGGCCGGGACCGTGACACACACGTGTAACGGCCACCCTGTACAGCCAGGGTGAGCGAGGGACGGGACCGTAACACACACGTGTAACGGCCACATTGTACAGCCAGGGGGAGCGAGGGCCGGGACCGTGACACACACGTGTAACGGCCACCCTGTACAGCCAGGGTGAGCGAGGGACGGGACCGTAACACACACGTGTAACGGCCACATTGTACAGCCAGGGGGAGCGAGGGCCGGGACCGTGACACACACGTGTAACGGCCACCCTGTACAGCCAGGGTGAGCGAGGGACGGGACCGTAACACACACGTGTAACGGCCACATTGTACAGCCAGGGGGAGCGAGGGCCGGGACCGTGACACACACGTGTAACGGCCACCCTGTACAGCCAGGGTGAGCGAGGGACGGGACCGTAACACACACGTGTAACGGCCACATTGTACAGCCAGGGGGAGCGAGGGCCGGGACCGTGACACACACGTGTAACGGCCACCCTGTACAGCCAGGGTGAGCGAGGGACGGGACCGTAACACACACGTGTAACGGCCACATTGTACAGCCAGGGGGAGCGAGGGCCGGGACCGTGACACACACGTGTAACGGCCACCCTGTACAGCCAGGGTGAGCGAGGGACGGGACCGTGACACACACGTGTAACGGCCACATTGTACAGCCAGGGGGAGCGAGGGACGGGACCGTGACACACACGTGTAACGGCCACCCTGTACAGCCAGGGTGAGCGAGGGACGGGACCGTAACACACACGTGTAACGGCCACATTGTACAGCCAGGGGGAGCGAGGGCCGGGACCGTGACACACACGTGTAACGGCCACACTGTACAGCCAGGGTGAGCGAGGGACGGGACCGTGACACACACGTGTAACGGCCACATTGTACAGCCAGGGGGAGCGAGGGACGGGACCGTGACACACACGTGTAACGGTCACACTGTACAGCCAGGAGACCGAGGGAAGGGACTGCTCCTGGGAATGACTGACCTGCACGCAGACCTGCTGCGGCGAGGCTTCCCAGGGCCCCCACGGCTGGGATTTACCCGTTAGTTACCGGGGCCCAGGATCCAGCTCAGGGCTTTGTGATTAGCTTTTACTTTAAATGACTTCTAAGGGCTCCTCGCCGGTGGCTCCAGAGGCCTCGTCCTCGGATCCCAGGCCCCAACCTCACAGCGCGCCTGGGGCTGCGCGCACCTGGCTGCTCACCAGGGGGGTGTGCTCTGGAGGGCGACCCTGCTGACCGCACGGGACAGATTCCCCACAACACAGGAGCGGGGAGTGCGGGCAGCAGGCTGAGAGCCGGCGGCCCCAGAGACTGTCTGTGCACCGGCCCCTGGGCTCTGTTACCCGAGGCCCCCGCTGGCAGCTCTACCTCCCGGAGCCCCAAGGGACCACGTGGCTCTCACCTCTCGCCTCACTGCCCAGGTCCAGCACCGCGGTGCCTGCTGCTTCATGGGCGGCCCCTGCCGAGGCCTGGTTGGTGGTGAGGATGTACCCATTGGCGGAGCTGGCGGAGGACGTGACCACCCTGAGCATGGTGACGGGGGGTGCCTGCTGCACCACGTGGATGGCGTGGCCTGGGGGCTGCTGTGCCGTCACGATGGACGCAGGCATGTAGGCCACGGGCTTGGCCACTAAACTAGGAGGTCGGGGGGGCACAGCCATGATCACGGGCTGGGCGCTGACGGGAGAGCCTGCAGAGAAGGAGCGTGGGTCAGCGGGCCCCCACAGCCCCGGCCCGGGTCTGGGTCCGCCCGCTGCAGGGGCCCCCTCTTACCGGGTGCGCTTTGGGAGTAGCGGTACTCTGGAACAGAGGCGAGCTTCGACCCAAAGTCAGGGTCGTGTGGAATGGGGGAGCCCTCCCGAGACAGGCACTCTGGAGTCTGTAGGCCGCTGGAGCGAGGGGACATCAGCCCGGGGTGGGTGGGCGAAGCCGGAGCGCTCCTGAGAACGGGGAGGGACCACGAGAGGGACCCACGCGGTGAGTGTGCGGGAAGCAAGGCTACTTAACAAAGCGGAGGCGCCCGAGGACGTGGACCACGTGTGGCCTGGCCTCCCCTGCCCTGTCCCCACAAGGGGTCCCCACGCCTGCAGCGACGATGAGCTGCCCGGCCACCGTCACAGCCCAGCCCTGGGTGGACGCGGTGCTGCTTGTGGCCACAGACAAAGCCACATCCCGAGCACCTGCTCCCCAAGGGACCAGTGTCCCCCGGGAAAGGGCTCTGTCCTGTTCCCCACATGAGCTCTGTGGGCCGGGCACCGACTTCCCGCCAAGAGAGCCTGCGTGGGGCAGAGCCCACGCTCCCAAGTGACCCATGCTCCCCGAGTGACCTGTGCCCCCGAGGGACCCGTGCCCCCCGAGTGCCCCCGCGTGCCCCACCCGGGCCCAGAACAGCCCCTCCCCCAGCCCTGCCCGCCGGCTGCGAGCATCGGCCTCTCCCCTGGGGGACTGTCAGTGACACGGCCCCCGTGCCCCTGAACACGCTGGGTAAACCGTCCCACGAGGGCCCAGATGCAGGGGGGGAAGCCGTCTGCATTCTGCGTCTGTGACCCATGGCAGACACCCCTCTCCGTCACCGACAAGGGTGCTGTCCCCGCGGCAGAGACCCTCCCTCTGGCCGGCCTCCTTCCTCCCGACCCCTGCTGGCCAGTCCTCGCCTGGAGACCCACGCGGTCACCCCGTTGGTGAAGGCGCTCGAACGTACAACTTCCTGTCTGGGCCTCGAGGACCTGGCTTTACTCTACAAAAACCAAACCCGTTTCCACTCACCTCTGCCCCCAACACAGGCTGAGACCCAGCCCACAGCAAAGCTCTGCTTCCCTGTCCTCCTGGTCTGGGGGTTCCCTCCCCCAGGTCCCCTGTGCAAATTCTACGTGCAGCACAAGATCGGGGGCCCAGCTTCCAATGTGGCCCCAAGGATAGCCGCCTTCACAGACTCTGCACACAGGGTTCCCGGGCAGCGCTGGCACCGAAGGCGCCGGAACGTCCCTGAGCCGCTCCTGGCAGAGCAGCCCCACAGCTCGGAGCCCTCACCTCCAGGGTCTCGGGGCGCCTGCTTTGCAGGTGGGATCGCGGGCTTTAGGGAGGTGCTCGAGCTACAGGTCAGCAGGGTGGGCCGGTCCCGGGACGCTGTCCTCACAGGAAGGGGAAGTGCGGACAGAGCGCCACATGCCGCCAGCCCCCGCCGGATGCCTTCCCCCGGCGCCGCCCCTCGGAGCCACGTGCGGGGCAGCCACGGGTGCCGACTGCGGGGCTGTGGCCACGGACGCTGGGCAGTCCCTCCCTCGGGACGGGGGAAGGGCGGTGAGTGCCCAGGGGCCGGTGTGGAGTGGCCGCGGGCGCCGGCTCACCTGGAGGACAGCGGTCCGAAGGGGGTGCGGAAGCAGGAGACGCCCCTCTGCCTGCGCTTCCGGAAGGCCTGCTCCACCAGCTTGGCTTCGGAGGCCGGGTCGATGCGCCAGAAGGACCCCTTCCCGGGCTCCTCCTGGGAGCGGGGCACTTTGATGAAGTAGCGGTTCAAGGAGAGGTTGTGGCGAATAGAGTTCTGCAGGCAACAGAGATGGCACCGCTCGCTAGCGCATCAGAAAGCCACGCCCAGCCACCCCACCAGGACGCAGGGATGCGGGACGAAGGTGACAGGGCCGGGGTTCAGGGGTCACACTGGCGACGGCTCCCGCGGGCTGGCCAGGTCACTCTTATGGGGCAGTGCAAAGGCACAGGTAGTTTTTCCTATCAAAGTCCAGGTCAGCATCGCTCCCATTCTTTAGAACAAACGCGAGACAGGAAACGCAATCCCTGGTGGAGGGGGTGTCCAGGAGCCTGGCTGGGTGGTTTAGTGGGTAGAGCGTCGGCCCTTGGACTAAAGGGTCCCGGGTTCAATTCCGGTCAAGGGCACACACCTCAGCTGCAGGCTCAATTCCTGGCCCTGGTCGGGGTACATGCAGGAGGCAACCAATCGATGTGTCTCTCACATCGATGTTTCTCTGTCTCCTGCCCCCTTCCATTCTCTAAAAATCAATGAAAAAATGTCCTTGGGTGAGGATCAACAAGAATAACAAACCCTGCACCGAGTCCACTGGCAAAGGAAAGAAACTAGGAGACACATGATGAGCGGGACACGCTGGTTATGCCCAATGCAGACACGGTCTTACGATCCCACGGGAAGGAACGCGCCCGCGATGGACACGTGGCTGTGAGCACAGAGCCTAGCAACGTAACAAGCGGGCGTAGCCATCCTCACGCTCCTGGCCCTCCGAGGGCGGGGCCGGACGCCCCGGATGCAGCCCATTTTGGACGCTCTGCGGGGCCACGTGCCGTGACTTAGTGTCAGCTGCCGGTCCTGTGCCGAGGAGATGGCCTGCACGATCAGCTGCGCGTACGAGTAGGGCGGCTTCGACTCGTCCTGGGGGGCAGAGCAGGCAGCGTGAGCGAGGC